TCGCTTCATATTTTCTTTCTTATATCAAAAGAATCGTTATACATACAGTTTTAAAATAGCAAATTTATTTACTCTATTGCCTTATTTTTTCCTTTGCCCGCCGTTTGTCTTTTAATGTGTGCACTGGCAGCTGAAACTCTCTATTAAAAACATGTGTGCATGAAGAATTAAAAGTATCATTTCGAAATATAATATATATGTAATCCCCTGAGTACTGTCTTATTGAAACACGAGGAAATGGAATATATACTAAAACTCCATAGACATACTATCGATACTCATGTGCACACTATATAATATATTTTCTTACCGTTATTTCTATATGCATGCGTCGTGTTATCGAGCCGTTCCACTCATGATTACAATTTACGGCAATTTATAATAGACTCGCTGTTGGCGGCTTGGCAAATGTTCTTTGCTTGTCCTTAAGTATATTACAAATCCTTTCCTAGTTCTTCTTTGCGGTTTTGCCCAATATGACACTGACTCCAGTATGTAGATCTTGCGTAGCGACGTCGCAAATGCAATCCACAAAGAATACATATACAGACAGTAGCGTAGCCAGCCCGACAATTTAGTCCCGCTACGCAAATATCTTCGTGTTCATTGACTGTGAAAACAATCCATTTCTAAATAAATGAATAATGATAATAAATTTGAATTTGCATAGCGGGACTGAATAGTTTTTTAAAAGTTCTTGCACGGGTCGGGACGCCATCTTGAATATCAGTGATACCACTGTAACCACAATGCAAAGCGCTACGAAAACGTAATAAGGGGAATCGCGCGGGCTGACTACGCCACTGTATGCAGACATCTCACCACATTAATTTTGCAACACAAGCTCTTGTTATTCATTAAAATGACATGCATTTGTTAAAATACACACACTCTGAACTTTATCGAATTGACATCGGCAACTAGATCGGTAAAACAATCTTAGCCCCTCACCCTTATGTAAAAATCTGGGAGACACGTGACCAGCTTGGACCAGGGTCTTTCCTCCAGCGAGGAGCGTAGTGGAAAGAGCCTGGGTACGAGGTTGGTCCCCAAGTAGCTGTACATAGACTTTCATAGCTAACTATACATCGACATTTAAATAAAGTTAAATACAAGCGGAAAGTACGTGGACTTAGTGGTTAATTAGTACATCATTTCGAACAAAGTTCTATTACTAGTATCACTAGTAAGTTTTAAGGGTCATCCTGTATTGATCTAGTACCAGTATATACATGAGGAAATAGTTTGTGCTCGGAATAGTCTGTGGTTTTCTTCTAATTATTTATTTACCTATTTGTTTCTCTGCTTGTTTTTGTCAGTATTTAGCTTCTTGTTGTGTTTTATTGTACTGTGAAATTCTCGTTAAAGTATGAAAGCCCGATTGCACAGAGAAAACCTGCCGTTTGTCGCAGTAGAAAAAAAGAGAAAAAAACAAAAATAAAAATAAAAAAACGTTCTAAAATACATGACACCAGCTGTTGCTTGATAACTGCACTTTGAAAAATAGCTCACAATTGTTTTCATCTTTTATTTCTAGGACGATTGGGAGGATTGGGAATGAAAAACGCTGACTTTATAAAGATCCCAACACGATAAATGAATGGCCGTATTTTTGTATATATTTCAAATTAAGAATTATATGTATTAGATTTAGTGTAGTATATATAAATGTATAAATTGGTTTTAATATTCGACTAAATGAACAGGTTTTGGCATAAAAATTATATTACTGTCCTAGAAATGTACGAATGTTTATCCTATAATTGTGTTTATAACCGGCATTAAAAACTTATTTCAAACCAAACGTCTGTACGGAAATGAGAAACTTTTTTGCCCAACGTGGCTATAACATTCTAAACATTGCCTTTTTGAAGGACTTTCTATAATTATGCCGTTCTAACCGTTAGAAACCCCGCCGTAATATTGCCGTAAGAAGCGAATTTTTTTATTATCTCGCCAGAAAGCAGTGCATATATTATTTTAAACATTTTACAGTGGGGCCAAAACCAACATTATAGGGCCCAGTCTGTGTGGTTCACCAGAGTGAGGTTTTGATTACTCGGGGTAAGGTTATGGCCCAATCTGAGCCATGCACTGCCTCATACTCATGGGTCCTGCGGTGCTAAATGCCCTCTCTCCAGTATATATGTTACAATGCCTTGCCAGAAAGCCACTTTAAAATGAACAAGACACTCGAAAGAGCGTTAACTTGCTGGGGCACTATTAAGTGATACACTTGTTAGATGGTACTACAATCACATGGCCAATTGAAGAGTTAATTGTGACCTGTTGCAAAATTGCGGTGTCCGTGCCAAGTTTGGCACCGCTACCATAGCAGACGCTTTTTTGGGGAGGAGTTTCTGCCTAGAAAAATTCCTTGCACGTTCTCTGAATTTCCTTTTTGCGGGAAAATTAATTAACCTCGGAGAAAATTTATTAATTAACCTTGTGAGAACTGTACCTTCCCTTCGACCAATACCTAGTCCTTTGCAAGTCTTTCCCGAAATGGGTAAAGACCTACCTAAAATGATCATGTTTTTTTTATTGGCTTTCCGAAACAAAAATGATCATTGTTCGTGACTTATTCTTTAGAAAGACGAAATCTATAGTTTTATTGTCTTTCATTGTTATAATCAACCCACCACGAGCCTGGATATAGTATAGGTAGATTATGACGCCCAGAAACACGTGGCAATATCTGTTCCAGGTGAGGGGGACAAAAATACTGGTGATACATAGTAGATTCGTCCTCCTTACAAAAAGACCGGTGATACATAGAAAAAGATTGGTTATATATGTTAAAAAGACTGGTGATACATTTATACAAAAAAAAAACTGGTATACGTTATAAATGAACGAATACCGGTGATACACAGAAAAAGACCAGTGTTACATAAAAAAAATACCACTGATACATAGAAAAAGAATGGTGATACACAGAAAAAGACCGGTGTTATATACCTAAATACTAAAACTGTTTGTACCAGTGTGGGTAGTACCAATGTGAAAATGCTGTGCTGCAGAGTGGTTATATTACTACCTTAAAAAAAAAAACAAGCAGAAACTCAACGTTTCGAGCGAAGGCCCTTCGTCAAGATTCGCCATTATTACATACAGATATACCGGTGATACACAGAAAAAAAGATTTAAAAAAAAACAATTAAAAAAATAATACCGGTGATACATTGTAAAAGACCAGTGATACGTTATAACCAGGAGCGTAGGAAGCTTCTAAACGTTTTGGGGGGCCAGGCTTTAAGGGGCACTTTTCGAATAAAAAAGGGGATCTAGAAATTTTTCCCCGGAAATGTTGCCACGGGGGGGGGGGGGATTTCATCTCAACAAAAATTTTTCGGACAAAAAATTTTCCGGATATAGCTACCACATTTTTTCGTAAATATGAAAAAAAATTTCCGGATATACCCAAAAATTTTCCGGATATATGATATTTTTCCCGGAATTGAAAAAATTTTTCCGAAAATAACATAGATCCAAGTTTTCAAAAGTACCCCTTGGGCAAAAAATGCAATCTTAATGACATTTTCCACGCAAGAAAGTGGCACTTTGCTTCCGGAAAAAGGGCACTTGGCAAAACTTGGGGGCCTGGCCCTCCCTGCCCCCCCCCGGTTCCTACGCCCCTGGTTATAACAGAGCCGTTGTATACATACAAATCGGTGATATATACTTGTGGGCGAAACGACTTGTCTGCGAAACAACCGGATACCACATTTTCGTTATCACTGACAGTGGCGTGCTGGCAGGGGGGGCCGGGGGGCCACGGCCCCCCCAGCTGGCAATTCTTGGGGGGCGCAAAAATGAAAATGGGGCGCCGAATTTTGAAAGTGGGTGGGAAAAAACGCATTCGAAAAAATATAGTTACTTCCGCCAAGAAAAGATGTTTTTATAGGCTTATAAACAGACTAATCGCATAGGCGACAAAGTGATATATTAAATTATACAGACTATTTTGTCTAACCGTATTTGCTAATTTGAGTTACCTCACGACTCACACAAAATCGTTCATATAGAAACATGATCAGTGATTACACGCAATGTCTCATTACCGGAATATTGGTCAGGTTTCGATCGAAACCTGACCAATATTCCGGTAATGAGACATTGAAGCGATCACGGGAATTATGCCCTTTTTTGCTGGTGTTATGCCCTTATATTATACCCTTCAATATGCTTCACAAATCACGAGAGCGGCGCAAATTAGATAGTTGAAGTTATGATAATGTAAAGTTGTGTACGCAATTTAGTTGTTTGCGCAAGAAACATGAGTAATGTAAGGCCCCGTTTACACTATACCGGATTCGCTCGTCACGTCATCCTCGATCTTCTCGGCGTTAAGGAACACTAATGGTTAGTAGCAAATGCTTATTAGTTTGACAGAATTGGCATGTTTATTTGGGTCTCTGAGATTAAAAACCTTCAGACAGCCTTCAATACCTACAAAACTTGACCTACTCCCATAGCAATCCGGTATACGGGGCCTAAGTAATGAAATAATGCTGAAACGCGCCCTTTTGGCAGGCAGGCAAGGAAACCTTAAAATGCATATGCGTGGGGTCCGTGTGTTATTGTATAAAAGAGCTGTAAGTTGTAAATGTATTCAGATCAGTAGAGAATAGAATTGGGATTTAGATTAATCGCTTGAAGTAACCAAATTTCGAATAATTGGATTTAGATTAATCGCTTGATCTAACCAAATTTCCACACGTTATAATGCCGTTTCCTGACCATCAGATTTCTGTCAAATCTTCCCCCAAAATCAAGGAAATGGCATTTCAGAGACTCTAAATTCAAAAATTTTCCTGGGGGGCATGCCCCCGGACCCCCCTAGACAAACCTCGCACCTGCGGCGCTCCGCTCGTGCTTTCTGCCCTCGTGTATCAAGCGTAACATTATAGGGGCGCATATTGGTTGACAGCCCACTGGCCCCCCCAGAAAAATAGTACCCAGCACGCCACTGATCACTGTAAATCACGAAGCGTCTCCTTCCATGAATAATACGATTTAGGAATGTTAATAATAGGCCAATATCGAAGAAGACCAACTGAGCGGTGACATCTCCAACCTTGGCCACAGGGAGCAGAGGAGTCGAGTTTTATCTAGTAAAACAATACAAACGCCGTCTTACCTTGTTAATTGTAATATCTTTCATTGTAGAATCCCCATGTGTGCATTAAAAATGCATATTTTACAATTTATAGTCTGTTGAAATTGTCGTGAAACCATATAAAGTTTATAAACATTGTATGCCTTGTATGATTTTTTATTCGTACTTCATGTAACATGAACACCAAATGAATATACTCTGCTGTTCTAGATTATCGTGGGCTCACATTTCGCTATACTTAGTAAACAATAAGAAACGAAGAAAGGGAGGAAACCGTCATTGGGGTGATATTTTAGGATGGCTATAACTTGCTTAGTATTTCATAAAAAAACATAATTTCTTGCATGCAAGCCAGAAATGATCTATTCTTACTACGCTAGGAAATAAATTTCAATAAACGGTCGTCTAACCTACATATTTGACGACCGATATTCATCGATTATTTTCGTACGATGTGCACCGCAACACCCTATGACGGAAGTGACGTATTGTTTCGTGTTTATGCATGATTGTTCAAATTTTTCGAATACTAATTACAACTGTCAAATGAAGTTCTGCTTCGTCATTGGTCAATGGCCGGTTTTATTCACTTCCGTCATAGGGTGTTGCGGTGCACATGCGACGAAAGATTAGCCTGCGAACAGGCCCTGGGTTGCGGGCGGCGCGAAGAATAGAGGGCCTGCACCAACCTCGTCCCCAGGGTCTTCTTCGTGCATGGCGCGTGAAAAATGAGAAGACCCTGGTAAAGGCTGTGAAAATCTCCACGATTCATGGACATTTTAGTGCATGCGCAAAAGCGAATTTGCCTTGGCGCTGACCAATTCATTGCTGGCGTCCAAATTTTTCATGGCCTTCTTGAGATGAAATATTTCAGTTTGGAAATGTATTTTTTTGCTAAAATATACCTCTAGATAAGTAATTTCTCTTCAAAAATTAAGATGTCTAGAGAGAGAAAGTAACAAGAAGCTAGCACGTCTAATTTTTATCTTCCTGGCCGAAGAATTCGCGTTGTTTGTCATGTCTCACGGCTGCTTGCACTGGCAGTCTGACAACACTGTCACTGTGAAGGTAATTGAAAAACTACAATATATTATTGTTATTTATATTATAATTCAACATATAATGGCCCTATGACTGGTGCTAATATGCCTACAAAGTATTTTTTAAAGCGCTTAGTTTTGAGAAATTATAATTTGATAATGAAAATTTACTAGTGGGCCATAGACTCATATCCATTTTACACTGTGAACGTTGGCACTTGTTTAAGTTATTTTGACTAAAAATTATCGCATGTTAATAAATACTCAAGTATATAATAATACTGTAATTTATAGTTTATTCCCTTGGAGCATGCAAAGTGCCTACATGTGGAATAATTTGCCTTAGATCCACAGCTCTCATACAGATTAGAACTCCCATAAATTCTTTTACACATCCTAGTACATTTTACCATTCTAAAAGTGCATTTCTCCATCCCCTTTCAGACAGCAGAAATTTCATTTGTATTGTGAGTTTATATTGTGCACTGAATGGTGAATCAGTAAAACTAAAAGATTGCCAACCAGTTTAGAGATAGTTTTGTTCAAATGTAACTTATGTAAGTATGTTTCTCTCTCAATTAGAAATAAATCTACTGTTAATAAATTAATTGGATAGATTTAGTGTAACATATAGATTTAGGTTTCCAGTTTGTGAAATGAAATGCAAATCAATTGTATTATATTTTAGATATTCATGCTTCTCAAATTTCAATATGGATAAAACAAGAACTGTCAAGAAGACTGCAACTGTATATGTACAACTTAATGGGATGGGAATGCTGTTAGTCTTCGCATCTAGGAATGTTGCTAATATGAGATTATTAAGAAAACCGCAAAGTCAACAACTATCCTAGATTCCATAATATTAGGAAGCTGGCTCAACTATACTTAATATTCTGGTAATACTCAAGAAAGTGACATGGCAATTCAACAATGCATATACAACAGAACAAGATATTTCCATACCAAGACAATTCTTACTGAATTAGTATTTAGCTGATATTTCATTTTTTACAGTATTTAAAGTTATATATACAGTGCTGTTTTAAGTTAAATAACAAAGTTACTTGGTTCAAAATCTGGTCTTTGTTTTTCCTTCTCTGTACTGTGCTAGGGTAAAGAAAAGAGGTGGTAATATGCATCCTCACATGCGGCTGATAGGAACTCTCACTCATATGGAAAATGAATTGGGTCGTTCCAGAAAAGATCCATACTCCCCCCATGGAGGAAATTTCTGCCGTCCAGAGGGGAGGGGAGAAAAAATTGTTTCTGATAATAGTAAATGTATTAGGACATCTGAAGGGGGTTAACTTCCTATTTCCTCTGTGGGGGTGGTAT